GGCCGACATGATGTCAATGTATGTGGACGTCGAACAAAAAGAATGGGACGTTATTATTCCTTTCATCACGTTTGCTTACAATACGGCGAAGCAGGACACCACCGGATTCACCCCATTCAGCCTCATCCATGGACGAGAAGCTGAATCTACATTAAATACATTGTTTCCTCTTTTAAAGGATGAAGATCAAGAGGACTATAATCGAGAGATAGTGACCCGAGCAGAGGGGACGCGACAATTGGCTCGGCTACATACACTGAGAGCGCAAGAGGGCAATAAACGACTCTACGACGCCAAACATCGAGAGGTGAGCTATCAGCCAGGCGATAAAGTATGGATATTTATACCCGTCCGAAAAATAGGGATATCCGAAAAATTAATAAAACGATATTTCGGCCCTTATAGGGTGACGAGACGCATTTCGGAGGTGACGTACGAAGTCGAAAGTCTAGACACTACTAACCGCCGTCGTAAGCCAAAGGAAATTGTGCACGTGGTGAGAATGAAGAACTACCGTGACCCGGACAAACAACTGGACCTACCCGAGGATGAGCCTGCCGTCTGACAGAGAGGACGCTGTCCTTTTGGAGAGGAGGTCATTGTAGCGTTATTTGTTGTATTGTTTTACATAATTAAGCTTTAGATTTTGTTTGTGTTTGTTTTGCATATATTGAATTAATGATTGGTATATATATTCGTGTATGATTTGAGTAGTCTCCTCGTTGGCAGCAATAAACGATTATTGTTCGATTTATCTTCGCCTGTTGCTTGCGATTCTCAACGTGACAATATTAAACATTTTTTCGTGGATGGCTTCTCTTGATTTATCAAGAAATTGGGTTGGCCAAATATCAGGGAACAGGTTAAATCAATGAATAGTTGATTTCTGTTCCACCAGATGGCGCTCTGCCTTCTTAAAAGCACGTGTGCTCCTGGTCAGGATATTCCTACTTTGTTTTAATATATTATTCTATATTTATGATCATACAAAGTAAAACATCAAGATACCTTCCAAAAAGAATAAAAGAACATATATATTGAATATCCAGAAAGACAGTAGAAAAAAACATTATAAATACACTAGCCATCTTCCTAATTTGTAAATAGTGTCAATTCTATATTCAGGAATGAATACCAAAATTTCCAAAAATTAACCCTAGAAGCTATACAATCATTCAACACCCCATTCTCACTCAAGAGACATAGAAATTCCCATTCAATATGTAAATTTTTAATTTACTTTCAAAATTTTGTAAATATCATTTTTAAAATGCAAGCTTACCATAATAGTTCGAGATTGTTTAGATCGAAATCAGTTCATTTTTGTTACCTTTGTAGAATAAAACCTCATATGTTAAAATCATTAATTCCTGTTGATCATTTTCTCCAGAATATCACCTACCTATCGCTACAGTAATTTCAATAGTTAGAAAAAGGGATTATTCAAATTATTCATTTGCCTATTATTTAATTTCTAATCTATTTCTTTTCTATATTCCCAACAATACTATTGTACTTAAGATACTCCTATACTGCATAATATTGAAAAAAATATTAATGTATGAGAGGAACCAGTAATTAATCTCTCATCTCAACAAATTCTTTTATAATCTAGTCGACAGGATGTCACCTGTTCATTTGTTCAAAATGGCAAAAGCAAAATGATTAAATATGCAAAGCCTTTAAACAAACATAGCCCACTTCAAACAAACATAGCCTACTTCAAAAAACATAATTTACTTCAAAAAAAAAGCAAACATAACCTACTTTGTTCAAAACTATAAGTCTAAGGGATAAGTGTCTTTTAGGAAAAAAAAAATTATTTCAAGCTTTCGGGCCCAACCGCCCTTCGACAGGAAAATTACGCTACTGACGTTTTCGGATCAAATCCATATATATATACACGAAGAAGCCGAAAATATACTACAGTTATGCAAAAAGCTGATTTACATAGTGAATAAAACAATAAAACGGAAATATAAGTATACATATAGAGAGAATTTGAATGTCTACAATATGAACTGGTATGGAATAAGACAAAGAAGATGGCATATTTTGGAAACACAGAACAGACTAACTATTGAATTTGCGGTCTCAGAGTTCATGGTACGGTGGGAGGTTTGGTGGCTGCAGGGAATAATACATTGTAAATTTCAGGTAGATCAATTTTTCTATTAAGGCTGTGGAATTTGCTTGACAGGAGGGATTCGATGACTAGTCTTTGATGTTTGCTGGAGATATTGGAATAATGAATTTTGGGTGATGTAATGTTGAAGGAATGGCCAGTTTCGTTGATATGCTGAACTATTAAGGATCTATGGTCTCGGTTATCAATATTTATTTTGTGTTCATGAATTCTGATATTGACCTGTCTTCCAGTTTCACCCACGTAGATTCCTGGGCAATTTGAACATTCTATTGAGTAAATAACGTTACGTGCCGTACTGTGAGGTTCATTATAATTGAGTTTCATTATTTGGTTTCGGAGAAGGGATCCTGAGGTAGGTGCGCAGGTGAAGTAGGTTTTAATTCCGAATTTTAACAAGAATCTGGCAATGGTGGATGCTAAAGGTGAATATGGCATACTGCAAATTGATCTGTATACTGGAGGCTGTATCTTTTTGGATGAATCGTAAAAGTGTCGTAATATAAAGGACATTGGGTATGCACAGTTTTTGAGGTTAGCTATTATGTTTTGTGTTTCAAGGGTCTTGTACTTCTGGAGGGAGCAGTGGGTATGTATTCGTTTTGAAAGTGCAATGACTGTATTGATCTTGTGACTGATTGGGCAGAAGGACGAGTATTGAACGTAATTAGGGCGGAAAGTTGGTTTATAATAAACGGTGGTGTGGAATTCATGCTGGTCACGGATAATTTTTATGTCAAGAAACGGAAGGATATTATTGTTCTCTTTTTCAACGGTGAAGTGGAGATCAGGGTTATAATTGTTTAGGTTGCATAGGATGTTTTCGGTTTGGGTGGTGGTGCAGATGCAAAAGATATCGTCGATGTACCTGCGCCAAAAGACTATGTCATGGGGGAACCTGGCGGTAATCCATCGGTCTATTGAGCGCATTGAGATCTCCGCTATTGTAGTCGATAGAGGGCTTCCCATTGGCGACCCCTTTGCTTGCCTGTATGATTTGGAATTATATGCGAATATGCAGTTATTCAGACATAAGGTAATGAGTTGGGTGATTTTATGGATGGTATCTGTATCTATATGCTGTTCTTGTAGAAGTTCTATTGTATCCCTTATGATCAAGGGATGTGGAAGGCTGGGGTATAAGGATTGCACGTCAAAAGACACCATGTTACGGTCAGATTCAGGTTTGATCTTCAAGACTTCTCCTATGAAGGGTTGGGTGCTGGATATGGGGAATGGAGAATTCTGTAATTGGATGAACGGTTTTAGAAAATTGGCTATAAATTTGGAAAGGGGGGCTGTTGGAGAAGAGAAAAAGGCCACTATAGGACGCAAGGGAGTTTCAGGTTTATGTGTTTTTGGGAGGCCGTAAATATAAGGTTCAAACTATGTTTAATCAAACATATCCCACTTCAAACAAAAACATGACCTAGTCATTAAAAAATAGACCACTTCAAACAGACATAACCTACTTCAAACAGACATAACTTACTTCAATAAAACAAATCCCACTTCAAACAAACATAACCTACTTTAAACAAACATAGTCACTTCAATCAAACATAACCCACTCTAATCGAACTTGTTCATCTACAAGCAACCGTACTCTCTACAACCAAACATATCTTTCCTAATCAAAGAAATCAACTCCAATCGAATATAGTATCTACAAGCCATAGTTGTCTTCCACAGGTTATCGCCATCTCTTCCATCCAGCGCCAGCCATTTCCGGAGATCAACTCTAGCCCATCAAAACCATGTCTTTATTCATAGATACCTCGAGTTTAGAAATAGCAGAAGTTCTTAAACAACCTGACGAACAAGGAATTTACATCCCATGGGTTATTTTCAAGAAACCTTCATCCATATGAACAAAATTATACTGTCTCAGAAATTGAAACATTAGCTATCATTAATTCAGTACAAAAATTTCACACATATATACACAACATACATTTTATATTGCAGGCAGATCAATTAACTTTTAAAATGGATCAAA